GGATAGACTAGGTTAGGTTAGATTAGGATAGGTTGGGGTAGATTAGGTTAGTTTCGGCTTAGTTAAGTTACATTAGCTTAGGTTAGAATAGGTTAGGTTAAATTAGGTTAGGTTAGGTTAAGTTACGTTAGGTTAGGTCAGGTTAGGTTAGGTAAGTTACGCTGGGTTAGGTCAGCTTAGGTTAGGTTAGATTAGGTTAGGTTGGGTTAAGTTGGGTTGGGTCAACCTAGGTATGAAATACTTTGTATATTTACTTTTTTATTATCTTTATTATTTCTTTCGTTTTCCCCTGGTTATCTTTTATCTAAATGGCCATAAAGAGATTTTTAGAAATGTATGAATAATAACATTACTATATTATTCTTTTTCTCTTATCTAATTTCCTTTCTCTTTTTTTGTTTCTTCCTCTGCTTTCCCACACCCCAACTCCTTTTACCTCCCCCATTTTTTTCCTTCTCCTGCCTAACCCTGTATTTTACCCCCCCCCCATCCCCCCCCTTCATCTGCAACCTCAATCCCTCCATTCCCTTACCCTTTCCTCCCTCCCTTCCCCCTCCCTTTCTCCTTGGACCCCTTTACCTCAATTTCTCTCAATCTTCTTTCTTTTACCTTTTCCTCAATTCCTCTTTCTTTTGCTGTACGTCAACCTCTTCTCTAACTTATATCCTTCAACTCTGCTCCATTCGTCACTCTCTTCAACCTCTCCCCAACCCCATTGCCGCCCACCCCGCATCCAACCCCTCCCTTAAATCCCCACCCCCCCCACCTCAACACCCCACCCCACCCTTCTCTTCCTCCTTCTACCATTTCCCTCCCCCACCTCCCCACCCCTCCACACAACATCCTTCCTCCTCCTACCATTTCCACCCCCACCTTCCCCCCCATTCCACCCCCTCCTTCCTCTCCCATCTCTCCCATCCAAAACATTCACCCTCCACCCCCTCCATCCTCAAACCCCCACCCTACCCCCTCCATCCTCCATCCTCCACCCTACCCCCTCCACCCTCCAACCCCCACCCTACCCCCTCTACCCCCTACACCCCCACCCTACCCCCTCTACCCCCTCCAACCCCCCACCCTACCCGCACCCATGTCCACACCCCACTCCCCACCTGCCCCACCCCCTCCCCCTCCAGCTCCCCAACAACCTGCCTGTGCACATCCGAGGGGGCGCCGTGGACAACATCCTCTACTCCCTCACCATCTTCGTCTGCGCCGTCGGGTTGGCCGAGTGCTTCAGGGTCTACTACGTGCTGTCGTACCCGCAGAAGACCGAGGGAGAAGAGTAGAAAGGGAGGGAGAAGAGAAGAAAGGGAGGAAGAGGGAGAGGAAGAGGGAGACGAGTAAAAAGGGAGGGAGAAGAGTAGAAGGAGGGAGAGGAAGAGGGAGACGAGTAGAAAGGGAGGGAGACGAGTAGAAAGGGAGGGAGACGAGTAGAAAGGGAGGGAAAAGATAGAAAGGGAGGAGAAGAGTAGAAAGGGAGGAGACGAGTAGAAAGGAGGGAGAAGAGTAGAAAGGAGGAGAAGAGTAGAAAGGAGAGACGAGTAGAAAGGGAAGGAGAAGAGTAGAAAGGGAGGAGAAGAGTAGAAAGGGAGGAGAAGGGTAGAAAGGGGAGAAGTAGAATAGAAAGGAAGGGAGACGAGTAGAAAGGGAGGGAGAAGAGTAGAAAGGGAGGGAGAAGGGTAGAAAGGGGAGAAGTAGAATAGAAAGGAAGGGAGAAGAGTAGAAGGAGGGAGAGCAGAGGAGACGAGTAGAAAGGGAGGGAGAGGGAGAGAGTAAAGGGTAGAAAGGGAGGGAGAGGAAGAGGGAGACGAGTAGAAAAGGAGGGAGAGGAAGAAGGAGACGAATAGAAAGGGAGGGAGGGAGATGGAGACGAATAGGAAGGGAGGAAGGGAGAGGGAGAGGGTGATGAGCAGAAAGTGAGGGAGGCAGAGGGAAGAGGACGAGATAGGTAGAAGGAAAGGAGTAGAAAGGGAGGGAGTGAGAGTCAGGGAGAGAGAAGTAGGAAGGGAGGGAGAGAGAAGAAGAGGACGAATGAGGCAGATGGAAAGGAGTAGAAAGGAGAAGGAGAGAGAGGGAGATATATGAGAGTGGTTAGAGGAGGAAGAGGTAAAGAGGAAAGTACAAAGAGGGGGAAGAATAAGTGTAGAAAAACAACAACAGAAAAATGGATTAGAAAGAGGAAGAGGAAGAGAAAAGGCAAAATAAAGCAGTAGAGAAGAGGAAGGTAGAATATATATTATGTACATAATGGATTGTAATATATTCAAAATAGAGGGATTTTTTTTTTTTCACTCTTACCATTAGCACTATGTTGAATGCTATAATAAATGTGTGATTAATATAAAAAGAGTTTCCTTTGCTTTCCGAAAATTTATTGAGATTATTGTTTACTTCCTTTTCGTCATCATTTTTTTTTTCTTTTATTTCTTAAATTTATTGTCTCTCTCATTCTCTTTCTCTCCGCATCGCATGTATTTCTCTATCTATCCATCTATCT